GGTTAATAAAGTGAGTCAATACATGAACAGTCCATGTGATACTCATTGGAGGGTAGTGAAACGTATACTGAGGTATCTCAGTGGGACACTTGAGTATGGGCTGGTTTTCACACCAACTAAAAATTTTAGTCTTGTCTGCTACACTGATGTAGAGTGGGCAGCCTCGGTTGAAGACAGGTGATCCACAACGAGCTATTGTGTGTACCTTGGAGGCAATCCAATTGCATGGTGCTCTAAAAAGCAAAGTGTTGTCTCCAGGTCTACGTCAGAAGTAGAGTATAGGAGTCTTGCTAATTCTGTTTCTAAGTTGGTTTGGATTGAGCAGCTACTTGGTGAAGTAGGGATTAGTGTAACTGGAAAGCCAGTTGTATGGTGTGATAACACCTCTACAATCTCTATGGCAACAAATCTGACTCATCATGCTCGCATAAAGCATGTAGAAATTGACTTTTACTTTGTGAGGGAAAGAGTTTTAGCTGAACAGCTTAGTGTTAACTTTGTTCCCTCTGCAGAACAGGTAGCTGATATACTCACCAAACCGTTGCCTCCTGCAGTATTTGGTGACATGCGTTCTCGCCTTGGTGTAAAATCTTGGGCAAAAGTCAATGATACCAGCTATGTCAAGCAAATCTGAAGATGCCAGGAAAATGTTGAATTGGTACTTCAGATTAGTAGAAAACCCAGAGAATATTAGAGTATTATGCACTTAAGGTTGTTGTAACTGGTGGTTAATCTGTTATATATTCTGTTGGGCTAGCTGATATTATAAATAGTGGGCCTGTCCACTTTGAAATATATGAGAGTATTTTTTGTATTTTCACCAAAACCTATGTATTGTTCTGATTCTTTTTGGAATAACACTAAACTATTTTCATTCATGTTGCACTTATTCTCTCGTTCTCTACCTGCTTTTCATAACTAGATTCTTAGTGGTTACTGTGTGTTTCTCCTATCATGGTATCATTCGCCTAAACATCCTGCGGCCATTTGCCTTCCGTTCTGCGAGGAGATTCTGTTCTTTGTTTTATCTCGTGTGCCATAATTTTTCAAATTGGTGCTAGATTCCTATGTTGCGTTCTTGATCCTTGTCGAAGTGATGTGCCTCCTTCATTTGGTTTCTGAACAAGTACAGTAAAAAGAAAATAAGCAGAGTAAAAAGAAAAAACCAAGTTTCTTTTAAAGAGGAACCTGTAATCCGTGTTTGTATGGGAATACGAGCCAAAGTCCAAGAGAGAATGGGTTGTATTTTCTTAAGATGACAGGTCAGCCCCTGGAGATCTCGATGTAAGGGGATACATAAAGGGATGATTGACTTGGGAATGATAACCATGGTGGCGAAGTTGATGGTGGTGCTGTTGAGACTCATAGGACAAAGAAAAAGAAGGGTGAGTCTTGGTGATTGATGAGATGTTTTGGGTTGCTGTTGAAGGGTTTGCCATTGTCGTAGTAGGACTATTAACTTCCACAGGCTTTCTTGAACGGTTTTTGCCTCTATGCATGTGTCTTTCACAGTACTTCGAATCTGCATAGGCTTCTTTCGAGCATCTCCATTTCTTTCCGTCGGTTCTCCTACACCTTCCGGGCTCTGGGTCCACTTTTCTCTCCAATCCCATCTGGAAACAGTTCCATCCAACTGCCAAAAAACAACAGGAGATCAGGTGGTGTGGGGATGCCTGAGACTATGTACTTGAAGATTAGAGCTTGGTGTTCAAGCTCTTGATACTGAGATGCAGTAAAAGGAAACCTGCTTTTTCCGCTCATCATTCAAGGAGGGGAACAATGTACAAATTTGTTGAAATTAAACAGAGGTAATAAATAAGAGAAAAAGGCAGTTGTTCAGACCAAACAGATGAGTGAGAGAGAAACAAACATGAAGGAGAAGATTGAAACAGACTTGGTTTCTTTGTAAGTTTGTTGGGTTGGTGGTTCATTACTTAAGGTATATATATTTCAGGGACCATTTCACTGCAGAATCTTCTGTTCATGGATAAAACTAATGCTTCTGATTATAATGATGCTAATGCCAATGCCATCAACCTTCTCTCTCTTTCTACTTTTTTTTTTCTTCCCTTCTGACACCTGAGCGAGAGAACTGAGAAGAGAGCAGTGACTCATATTATGACTGCACCTCTCTGGTGCTTTCCTGGTCCTGCAGGCTAACCTATCCCTCAATGGCAGTTTGTGTCATTCTGACAACACTTCTGAAACCCATAAACTAAATTTTAGTTGGATAAAAAACACTGAAAACAAAGGGAAATTTTATCGTTAGACAGTCTTAATATATTGAAATATGTTATTGATTTTGTTATTTTTTTTAATAAAATTGATATAAAAATTATTAAAATTATTATTATTTTTATCTAAAATATTAAATTTTTTTAATATTTTCGGTAAAGTGTCTAATAATAATAAAATCGGTAAAAAAATAACAAAATCGGTAGCGTTTTATCGGATATGTTAACAAAACCGGTCAAAGACCCAATAATAACGAAATTAATAGAAATAATAATGTTTTTGATCATTTTTTATCAATTTTTTTAAAAAATAATAATAAAATCAATAACATCTTTCTTTAACTGTATATTCACTAACAATTTTCCGAAAATAAAAGATAGTAGTATTATTATCATTATTATTTTAACTTAGATGGGGGTTTCTGCCACATCAGAAGTTCGTATGGTTTTGGGCTTTTACAGCTACTAACTCTTTTACTTTTCTTCTTCAGTTCCCCCACTTACTTTATATATCTTTTTGCAACTTTGGGAAAATGAAAGGTTAATTCTAGGGTTCTTTTGGGGCTTAACCAGCCTAATCCCCCCTTTTTCCCATCATTTTACCTTTTGATTTTCTCAATTTTGTAAATAATATATTCATGTTCTGTTTTCCCTAATTCTCAAATATCTGTCTCTTGTAAAGTAGCCAAGTCTGCAATCTGCATAATCCAAACCACCTCAGCTAGGCACTGTCTTCCCTATTTGGTTAGTGAAGGGTGAAGAAAGAATCAACTCATTGCATTGCTAAACCCAAAAATTAATATTCTTATAATAAGAACTGGTGATAATATATATATATATATATATATATATATATATATATATATATATATATATATATATATATATATATATATATATATATATATCAGCTAACCTAAGCTCTATGGCAGCTGTTCATCATGACTCCTATTGGCTATTTTCTAATATAATTATAAGCAGCAGCTAGCTAGTGGAGGGTCCAAAAGAGGGTTAGAATGGACACAACTGTTTTCAACAGTCTTCAAATTATACTATTGTTTCTCCCTGTAGTTTTGCATTGCATGGAAAGATCATGTGAGGGGTTCATAGTGGGAGAAAATCACAGATTTTGAGATTAATGGAGTTAATGAAACCCTGGGGAATTGCATTTAATTCCCAAGCACTGTTGTTGTGTTTTGAGTTTGGCAGGTGTTGGTACAAAGTAAAGTACTCTTTGGCACTGTATGGAGATGTCCTTATCCCCCCTCCTAGCTTCAAACACACCTTCAAAACAACATAAGATTACCTACTTGACCAGATGTACGGCACCTCCCCATTTATTCCTTGGATATAAGATGGTTTGCTTTCTGATTTTTTTCAACATACAAAAGATGTTTCCCCCTCTTTTTCTTCATGGTAGAAAGACGGATTCTTAACTATAAAGATTCATTTTTTGCGTGAAAAAAAGCAAAAAAAAACTCTTTTAGAAATTATAGAAAAATATATTAATCAAATTATATGACAAAATATATATATTTACAAACTGACCCTCAGCATAGTTTGGTAGAACCCACTTGCATCGCTTCACTTTGCTCCCAAAAGTAGTGACTAATGAGAATAATATAAGAAATGTTTTTCTTTTTTTGGGGTTTTGAAATATTGGGATCATATGATTCAGCGATGTAGTGGGAAGTATTGGCCTTCATTGATGATCCTGGAGCCACCACCACCACCCACTGTTTTACCTTTAAGGGCTCCAACTCCCCGACTCAAATGTCAAATGTGGGCCAACAACAAGCTCCACCTGTAACCATTTTCACAGTTTACAAAAGCATATTTATGGTCAATCATGTCTTCGAAATCCCAGCAAAGTTTTTTCTAGTGGTCCTAGCATTGCCATTTTCCCACTTTGCCAATATTTTGCTTGTTTTCTCATTCATTACTCTCTGCCGCCATAATTACAAAAGCTTGAAAAATCTGATCCATCGCTTGAAAAAAAGACTATTCCCACTGTTAATAACTCAACAATCAATCATATTTTACTATTCCCATTTAATTTCAATGTTCGAACTTCATTAATCCTTACCCACGTTTACTCCCGATATTTCCACGGCCCTACCGTCAGTCCAGGCAAAGGTAATAGCAAAGGTGCGTCTCAATAGGTTGAGAACAAGGCCCATTGAAGACTTGACTGCTCGACTCTGTGATGCCATTTGAAGACTAACAAAAAGAGTTTCATTTCCATTAGAATTGTTAGTCAATGACGGAACTAGAAGGTTTCTATAGAATATTGGACAGATACTAGATCGTGCACCATTAAAACCGAGTCTGCTGCTTGCTTTATAGACACTGTTCCTTTCCACTAACCAAACGTTTGGTCAGCGGACAGGAAAAGCCTTAAGCTTTTGTGTTTTCTTCTTGTACGCAGGCAGATTCACGTGTCTTAACCTTTCGAACTGACAAGGAATTTGAATTGCAGTATTATACTGTTTTGATTGTGGTTTACCAGTCCCTTTGTTTCAAGGCATATCCCCGAGAATTATTTCCTTGAATTCGACAACACAAATAGTAAAGAAAAAGGGAACAAAAGTAAATGAATTGACCTGCATATGCTAAAATTTTACTCTTCCTGTTTGATAAATTATGTATGATGCTACAACTTGATCAAAATCCCATTTAAGGATCAAGTATATCATTGAATTGTACTTTCAATTTCATGAAGGCAAGTAGAAAATGGCATTGGGGAGAATTGAATATATTTCAAAAACCCTATAACATTATGGTGATTGATAACATGATTTGACATTATACAATCATTGCTGAACTTATGTCCAAGTTACAACACTACGGTAGCAGGCCATCTTTGGATGATTGTGGTCTCTCCTATTCCTTCTGGATAAATGATAGAACAAGATCTGTATGTACAGTGAAGAGTTGTGTGTCCACAAACAGCTGGGATGAGAAAGGGGAATACTGTCAGTATTATATATATTTCAAAATCTGCTATTTAACATGAGCACCACTCATAATGAATATGGAAATAATCATCCCGACAGGAAAATAGATGGAAAACATGTCCAGTATACCACAATTATACTGAAACTAGGAGTTAAGGCTAATATCTAGAGATCGAGTTAAGGGAAATGAGGGACTCACCTTCATAAATGGTCGATCACGACTAGGGAATGAATCAATGAAACTCTCTTTTAAAAGCAATGATACCTGAACATGGAAGAACTTCAGGATTTTATTGTTTGTTTTCAAACAATACAAAGTATCACAATAAAACAGATACTGTGCATTATGCAACTCCATCTTCCACCTCACACACAAGGAACACCAAGCCCGTAAAGAACTTCCATCAAAGCCCCTTATAATCCCCTATGCAATCCATATCCCTTTTAAACCAAGCTTGTAATTTGGATCTGGTAACTACAATATCTATGATAGAAAATCCTAAATAGTTCACAAATAAGTTAACGAAAAAAGCAGTAAAATGCATAGTAGGTTTGTTCAGATACCAAAGAACCCAAAGAAAACTGCTTGGCTAAATTTATTCTAATTCAACGAAACACAAACCTTATCATTGTTTGACTGTACATTTGTAATTGTGTGTGACCGCATGTTAGAGCAAAGAGAATCCAAGTATGATCTTAACACCGATATAAAACCTTTGGCAGCTTCAATCTATACCATTAACAGCATCAAGACAACAATTAACAAACCACTGATATATGACAGCAGTACTTCATTAGATGACCTTGAACAAGTACTCATGCAATACCCGAAATGAAACAAATAAAAGATGGTTCAGTGATTCATACCAATAATACCATATAAAGCGACATGATCAAATTATAAACTTCATAAATGCTGATAGTTTTTCTTCTCATTAAAATGGTGGTAAACTAGTCCACCAAAAGATGGTCGAAATTATAAATTATAGTTGGATCACACTATAATTGTGACCACTTGATAGAAAATCCTAAATATATTGTAATTGAGCCACACTCATGAATATTAGAATTGCATAATTTTGCATGATACGTCATAAGTGAGCTTGTTAGTAAAAGGTCTTTTGGATTTAATATTGCATGGAAAAAGCAAAACTGAAATTGAAGGCAAAAGGCATACCTGCACATCTGTGCACTCATATACTGGTCTTTTCCTCCCCAAATAACTTTCACCAACGAGCTTTGCATGATAGGGACTTAAGCAGGCAAAGAGCTCCCTATGCTGTGGCAATTGTGGTATTGTGGATGCCTTTATCTATCACATCATGCAATGATAAAATCAGAACAGGAGAGAACGACCCAAATCCTAAACTAAAATAATTCCCAAGAACAAACGTCTTCTTCAAATGCACAATGGAAAAAAGGTACTAAAAAGTGGAGTACAAACTTGTAAGAACTAAAAACATGCAAAGTAAAAGCAAGCAATTTGGAAATTTGGTCTTCTGCTTGCTAAGCAAGAAAACTGGCTTTTGGTCTGTGTGTTTAACCTTTTCCTTTTGATCTGAGAAAAATCAAACAGAGATATGAAAACTTTCATATTAAAAGCATATGGTTGTATAAAAGAAAAGGACATCAAACCATTCCAACAATGATTTGGCAAGCCAAACTCCCCAATAGAACTTTTTAAAAGGGGGGAGAGAGAGGGAGAGGAAATGCAAACATTAGTAGACTAGTCAAACTTAAACACGTACTTTTAGTAGCAAAAGGAGATAATATTGAAAATAAAAAATATATATTGTAGAATTTATAATGAAATTACATTATTATGCCATGTTGTAATGCAAACATTTGAGAAGATGCATACCTGGTTCTTATTGGCATCAGCCAGAATGACATTGGCCAACTTTGACTGCACTTCACTGGTTTTGTTCTTTACACCAACCTAGAGATGAGTAAAATTCTATTAACAAATACATCGGAGAAAACTGAAAAAAAAAAACAATACTAATGAAAAACTGTGAAGTGTATGTTAATTCAATATTCCACCACATAATTCATTGAAAACAAATTCCTGGGGGAGATAACTTGTTCAGAAAGATCATATTACTTTCTAGTTGATACTTAGAGTGAAACCTTAGCCAAGATTAGCCAAGAGGCTTTATTAGTACATATATGATAATGACCAAGCCTCTTCCAAGTATACAGATTCAGTTGAACGGGTTACATTAGCCATTTTGCCCTACTGGATATGATATCCTCATAAGCTCAATAACAGCAAAGAACTTTAGTCTACCCTCCTTTCCTAGTATGTGCTCTACAAACATGGGCCAAAGTCACCAAACCCTTTCTTCAGTCTGGCCTCATTTCCCTTTTGACATGAGCATTACCACTTGGAACATAAAGTATCACTTGTACATATAGACACATTACTGAATAAATATTCACGGGAAACTAAACAATTCAAGCATGCAACATTAAGCCTTTTTTCTGAAAACTTACTATGTAAGGAACAGGCGCATCTAAAAAATCTAGCATATCATCCGGCAAAACCTGCAAACTTTTGAATGTAAGTACAGAAATCTGAATAGTCTAAATAACTTAGAAAATATGAAGTGACCGTTAAGAGATATACCGGAATCAAAAGGCTTTGCCATTGGTATGGACGGATAAGAGGGACAATTGACAAAACTATAGCTGATAAGATTCCCTGCATATAATTTCAAATCTAGTATAAATGCAAAAGTTCTAAATTTCTAACTATTAAACACTTGAAAAAAAAAAACAGTAGGAATAATCCATATCATCATTAAAACATAATAAGTCATAAACATCAAGCAGAAAATCTCAACAACAACAAAAAAAAGGTCTCTTAAACCCAATCCATGTGATCCCCGAGCGATGATCTAATTATATAAAGTTCCAACGTAATGGGTGCAACTAGCCTTAGAGACCATGGAAGGAGATACACTAGTTTTGAGGTTAGGTATATATAATTGCAGCATATTCATCAGGTTTTAACATAAAGATTGGTAGTTGAAACATAGTCAACTAGAAATAGATTACCATCATTAAGATGATACTTAATACCTACCAAATTGGAACAAACAACTACAATCTGTTTCTCGAGCAATGCTCCAGCAAAGATAGTTAACACCTGCAGAATAAGAAGAATCAATTCAGCTAGCCTCTCAAAAGTCTATACAAGACCAAGCAAATGTAAATCACCAATGCTCATCATATCTTCAGGGAACAGTCAACTCACACACATACACATGCAAACAAGAAAAAGGAAAATAAGATAAATGGTGTTTGGTTTTTTTTTTTTTTTGATAGGAAAATGGTACGTTAAAATATCAAATAGAATAAGGTTAAAAGAATATGTCAAAACTAACAAATTCTATGATTAAAATAATGATTGGACTTCACAGATTAATGAATAGAAACAGATTTTAGAATTAATAATACAGCACCACAGTTCACCACTAGATTTATTGATGCACTTATAAAGCACAAAACAAATTTATGTTACATCCTTAATTTCACGACACTAGAGTCCATGAGCAAAATGTATTATATGAAAACCAAAAAGCCAAGCATGACATCAAAATCAACTTCGAAAACCTCAGACAGCATGTTATGCTTCTGTAAATAAGCAGGGACATATTTTTACATGTTCAAGCCGCAGAGATCCACACATGCATGCAACAGCCCATGTTGACAGAGCGGTTGCTTCCTCTTCAGCCAAAAGAGCAGTGTGTGCCTGATAAAAGAAGATAATAGTGAGACAGAATTAAACCACCAAGTCTGAAATGAGGAATGCAACATTATTACATCCTATGAAACCAATAATCATGGTTACCTCAGCAAATTCAAGACTGGTACTGCAAGATCTCAAATCAATGGTTGAGCCAGCAATACGCAGAACTTGTTCATCAGGTCTATGATATTCCAGTGGATGAAGGTGCTCCAAAGGATGAAACCTAAGTTTTGAACCCCTACCTGGACACCGTAACCGATAATATTCACATAGTATCTGCAATGATCCATGATTGTTTACCTGGAAATTGTGGAGGATTACTTTATCTAAAATGTAGAAAAAAAGTGAGGCATGCCATAAGGGTAAGGTTAAAAAAGATTAAATTACTTAAAGTGTGACATATTCAAACCTTAGCCCATTCAAGGATATCAAGGTGGTCACTAGAATCTTCCTGGCCAGAAATAGATGCCTCTTCCGTTTCTGTATCATCAACATCATTCCTCAAATTCCTATCATCACAAGGAGAACCTTGAAAACTGCACAGGCATCAATACCATATTTATTAAAAAGATAACTGAAAGATAAGACTCCTAAAACTGAAAGACCCAAAGGCTTGCTTCCGCAATACATTATAAAATTTGTTCTACCTGCAAGAAGACTCAGAGCTTTCATACTGATAATAGCGCAGAAATGGCAGAACAGCATTTGGCAAATGTCGTTCTGCTGTTTGTTTATTTGTAGTAAATTCATCAACATCAGTGTCACAATCTTCAGGATATGCACCACTAGATTCTTTTTTACTTTTAAACGTGTCAGTTTCAAGATCAAATGGAACAACAGTATCACGGTTAACAACTTTGTTTGAGTCACAGTCCCCCTCAAGCATCTGATGATCCAAACTATTCCAATCATCAGTACCTCCAGGCTTAGAATCTGTGGAACTGTACTCGGAGGTTTCCGTCATTGCATTCTGCATGTCCTCCAGAGCTCCTTGATCCGTTAAGGCATCATCTATAATTGCTTCATTGCTATAACTCTCAGACAATTCCAAATCTATATCACCGAGACTCTTTGTTAATCGTTCCAACCTTTCTTCATCAAAGATGCTGCATGTAAAATTTAAGGAGAAAAAAAGTTATGAAGCCAGTGAGATGAACTAAAACCATGTTGCTAGCATCAAATCCTCAAGATTTCAGTCTAAAAAACTTCAAGTTGGACTTTTACATTAATGCACAAATCTTAACTGATGTTTCAGTCCAAATAAATCTACATTTTGCTCTTAGTGGAAATAATAAGAATAAGTTACAAGATCCTCATTATCATTTGCTGTATCTGATGTTAATAAAGCACACCTATTAAGAACACCAAAGTGCAACTCAAAGCATGGAAGCCTCGAAAGAATGCAATAACATCTGCGAGTGGTCATCACATAACGACTCCGAGACGGGTAGGCAGGTTGTCTATCAGAAATCAAAGAAAGCAATCCAGAGGGCTTTTGTACTATTTCTTCAACTAACACACAGCACCCATACAAAGTGGAATTATCAGCAACCTAGAGAGAGAAAGAACGAATAGTCACAGAAATATAAAATGCTACCATAATTAACAATGTCATGATAAAGGAAATCAGAACTGAAGCAGAAATTATACATTTTATAAACAATCCAAGATATGAGGGAAACAACAAAATCTCATCTTTAAAAATAAAAATATACATAAAATAGCAATAAGGAGTGATATAGTAACCTTAAAGATCAAGTATAGTGTACAGATGAGTAAAAGATTCAAAAGATGTATACATATATGTCCCAATAACAACCACAATACAAACCAAATCTGTTAGCAGAGGTTACTAACAAGAAAAGGATTTGGGGATCAAAAAATAATGAGACAAAGTCAGTTCAACAGAATTCCAGAACACATTAGCCTCTATTAATAGCTCTGATAGGAGCATGGAATTGAAGTTTCACTTCAGCATCTATTACTACATCTATAAACTTTAGAATGATGAATGATCATCAACATCCAACATGTCAAGTTTTGATCACATAAGCAGCAGGCAGCACAACTTAAAATAGAAAACACAATGAGAAAAGAAATTTCAACAGTACAGAACCAAATAACATTATGTTTCAAAGGTTACCTGTAACCGGAAAACAAATGACAGATCACTTTGATTTAGGTGTTCCTGCAGGACATGAATTGTAACCTAAGAGATTAGCATTTGACAAGACATAACATTTGCCAAATATAAATGTACATGCACGTGCTTATATAAGTCTCTAAATTGAGAGACAATAGAAAACAAGATTTGCTTTACATTGTCAATCAAGTGATACAGTCGAACTATGCAGTCTGAAGCATTCACTTAAACAAATCTAGAACTAATTATGATTTACAATTATTTTTATGGTAAATCTCCACAAGAAGGGTGATCGGAAGGTACAAAGGCAACTAGTTTTAGATAATCTATTATCAAAATTCAAGTGGAAAAGCATTATCGTCAGATTTTAGCAAAAATACCTGCGAAAGAAGAATTTCATTCAGCTCACTCATTGAAGGAGTTCTCTCAACGGCATGAACCTGATATAGCACAGACAGACTTTAGAAAAAACAGCTTAAATTTGCATCTATAATGCAATATATATTTTACTGGGAAAAGAAACAGAAATTAAATTGACAAACTTGCTCAACTGAGCATTCAAAAGACAGCATGAGTTAAAACACTTTTTAGCATGAACATTTCACACTACTATGCACTGCAAACAATAAATGGAAGAAGAAGAACAATTAGCCAACCTCTACACCTCCAGGGAAGCAAAATGAAAGAAGATCTTTGTATTTAATAGGTAGCTGCTTTTCTGGTGGATAAACAAATAAGACCTGGCGATAGAGAACAAAATCAATATCCAAAGACATGATCCATTGCAATCCCCCTCCTCAACATGAGAGGTCTTTAAGAAAATACTTGTTTACGAAGAACACCCACCTGGGGTTCGAGGCAAGGTTCGACACGAGAATTATTCTGACAACTTAGAGCACTTCGCAACTTCCCAGAACCTTCAAACTGTCTGGTGACATATAGCCTTTGAAGAGCCTGAACATCACAACTAGGAGGAAGTCCAACAACAACCATGCTCTCGAACAACCTTGAGGGTTCCTTAAAAGATCTATGATCCTGCACATGTAAAATTACAATGTCATTAAAACATTTTTTGAGATTCTTGGTTTCTAGTTAAAACATAACGAACATATACAAGTAAAATAAAAGAGGTTTATCAGGCCTCCTATTAGGCCTTGCAATAAATATATATTGAGTGATAATTAGACAAGCTACATAACAATCATATACATGAATTAAGGGTTGTAAATGTTGTACAAAAATAACAGCTTCATAAACAAAATTACATCCCTCAGTATATACTTGCTGTGAAAGTCCATAACAGGTCTGAGTAGCATTAACAAAAAATGTCCACTTGAATGAAGTAATATACCAAATATTGCAGCTGAAAGCTAGCCCACTGGCGCTTTTGGCTAGTCAGAACTTCCGGATTGTAAGTTCCACGTCTCACTTCAGTGCGCTGCGAGAAACCTTTTAACACTCTAGATACATGATGCTGTAGCTTCTGAAATCTGCTACCGGTATTTTCATCTTTCAATGAATATACAGCAGATGGTCGAGGAGAATGAACAGCAGTCGCAGCTGCTGCAGCAGAAGCAACTGCTCTAGCAACATCCTCCTTTGTCGGCATGAAAAAGGATGCACTCCATCCAGGGCTACCGGAATCTTCGCTCTTAGACATCCTTAAAGCCACTCAACAGTCAACATACACGACCAAACAACAAATAAACATAAACAATTGCAAAAATATCAAATATTTCATTGAATGTGACTAAAATTACTAGCTTTGAAATTTCCGCCCTTCAAGTGGAACCCGTCTTACAACAAATCATAATCAATCATCTGAAAAGATTACCGATCCAATCAAAGAAACGAGTTCAAGAAATTAACGAAATCAACCTATGGACTCAGGCAAGTTACACTAATTAAACGTCTATCTTAGATGAGAAAATCATCCAGTTACTTATAAATTATTAAAAAACAGTTCAGTTAAAACTTATAACAAGCTTGAGAATAACAGGCTCAGAGGTTGGAACAGATCAATATTATTGCAATAAAATAGGATGCCCCGAAACACAGTACTGCGCACACAGTTCTTCATAAACTCGAGCAAGTCAAGCACAAAAAAATCTAATAAACAATCTAAAGAGTAATTGTGAATCCAACGAGAAAAAAAAAAGAGCTTTTCAGATACAGATGGGTACTGAAACTAACCTCGAAAGAAATTAAACACTGAAGAAAAACAAAGCCCCAAAAATAACTTCGTAAAAAAACTTGGAGCCACAACCAAACGAGTATCGTCTTAGAACTTCACGGATCGATGAATTAAGGGGAAAACCAAACCCAAATTTAACAAAGAGATAAGGAAAACATAAAGGGTTTTAAGCAGCCGCCATATAAAGAAAAACAAGCTCTCTCCTTGAGGTCAAATACCTTCAGATTTCCCCCCTCTTTGTAATTAATGAAGGTTTTTAATAAGAAAAATTAAAATCAACAAAAAGAAAACTTAAAAAAAATTCCTTTTCCCCGTCAAAACTAAAAATTATTTTTAAAGAAAAAAAAACACAGGACCAATAAGAAGCTCTAGAAGCCGCAACGAATAAAAAACGACAACATTCGAAGTAAGGAGACGGTCAGTTTCACTTGCTATAAGTTTGTGTTCTGGTTTCTGTCATGGTTTTAGGGTAGAAGTTTCAGAGTGAAAGCTTATTTAGGCAGACAGAATGAGATTATGGAAACAATGGAATTTTGGGAAATAATCCTTTTTTCCCCCAAAAAGCAGCGATTGCATGAAACCTTTCAAATTCAACCATTAGTTTAATTATTATTAATTAAAGTATTAAACCGTGATATTTTCTAGGGTAACCTAAACGTTTAGCAATTAATTATTATTTTTGTTTTGTTTTAATTATCTAATTATTTTTATTTTAAAATTATCTCTAATTATATTTTAATTTTATTTTAGTCACTCATCGTTAAAAAATTAACGATAATATCAATGTGTCATCATAAAATAATATCACTTTATCTTTATAAAATATAAAACTATCACATCTTCATTTATGTTAAATTTGTTAATGGTAAATTATCAAAATGAAGTCAAAACATACAATTAAATATGATTTTTTAAAATAATAGTTAAGTGTCAAAAAAAAAGGGAAAAAAATGATAAGTAGATACTAAATATATAATTTATACTATTTTGTTCTCTCTCTCTCTCTCTCTTTTTTTTTTTTTTTGCGCGCAATGCGTCACTATGGGAGAGGGGGAGATTAATTTGTTAGGATTTTTCAGATAATTTTGGTATGGCTTTATAGGATGACACGTGGACATTGAACCACGTGTGCGGACATGATCCTCGATATAAGGTTCGGTGTATTTAGTTGTGTTTTGCTTTTGACTAGATCTTACCACTTCCTTTATGCCTTGAAAAAGTGGGGTATCGTCAAAAGGCTTTTGTCGAAGTTAAAATTATAGATCAGTTTTCACTTTTCATAATTAAACAGTTAATATATCTTTACTTTTTGCCATTCTAAATTATTACCAATTTGGGATAAATATTAATATTATATATGACATATAAATTTTTACTTTTTTAAAAAAAAGTTGTAAAATTTGCCAATCATCCCAAGGGTAAAAAATGTATATTTTTTGCTAGTGAAAGTCTTCGTATGGAAGTGAACTAAATTATAAATGAAAATAAATCAACAAGTGAACATGTACTTGAAAAGGTGGGGATAATTAACCTTTTATATATATATAATATGAAGGGCGGTGGCCAGATATGAACAAGGGAAGCTGATTGGGATAATTGCCTCATTAAAAATTTAAATTATCATATATTTTTAAATTTTTTATTTATTTTTTAATTAAAATTTTGTTTTTATTTCTGAAATTGTTAAATTTTTTTCTAAAAATTATGACCGTCTCTGAGTTCGAGGAAAAGGCATGAACTAAATAAGAGGCATGATTAAGGTTGGCAAGGGTGTTTGGTCCTTTTTTGGTGTTGTTTTTGCCAGGAAAGTAAATGGTGGTGGGGGGCCAAAGACAATTTGTGTGATGAAAAACGAAAGCCCACATTTATGTATGATTGCATCGGACAGGATGAGAAAAGGTCTCGGTGTGGGATACCTCATGTTTACCATTTTCACCCACTAATGCTTTATTGATATTGCTTCTACTTACATATCTTAATTGTCAAAACTCACAAATCTACTCATGTTAATCTATTATATTTTTCAATTTAAATATTATTATATATATTTATCTAATATTTAATATTAAAAATGTAAAAATCTGGAAGGCCTTTATTATTTTAAGCTGATGTCTTGAATGGGCAGCTGAAATTATTGACCGAGATTGAGTTTCAAAAACCAAGAAAGATAAAACATAAAATAATTTAGGGTTTAGGCGTTTCCGCATGTTTTTCGGTTTCTCACTTGTTGACGAAATTAGGCAGACAGGGTACGTTTCGTAGCTCTGGTATAGTGGTAGACTTTTTGTTTAATTAAGACGTTACTTCAAATCAATTATTTAAATACGGAAAATTTTAAAATATGTTTTGAAATAAGTAGTTAAATGATGGGCGATACAAAATCAAATAATGTAATTCGATAATGATTAAAAGTGGATATCTTTAGCAATCGATCAACGACTATGTTACGTTATTGTTAAATATAAAAGATCCTTCGTAAACAATGCTTAATTTTGAATAGTATAGATGATTTTGATCGGTTAAAGATGGTCGAAGAAATGTGACGATATCGATGACTTTCATACATCCAACAATTTAATATAATAGTTGAGTTTGATTTGAATTTTGCGTATGTTATAAATTTTTTTCTTCGATTTACTTTTTCCTACCACATTTATATAGTAATTTTCTAACGTAGGTAAAAGTACTTTGAGTTACAAGTTCTAATATAATTCTTTTTTATATATTTATTTTATGATTTATATTTTAAATTTATAATCATTTCTCTCGATAAGATTATCTCTAATATTTAAATATATGTTATATCCTTATAATTATAGTTTACCTTGTTAATCTATTCAACACTTAACAATCATGAGCGCATTTTGTATTTACATATTTTATTATGTAAAATGTTTTACTTTTGTATTGATATTAATTTTAAAATACTTGTGTATTACCTTATATTATGAATATTAGTTTCTATTTTAAAATCTCGTAACTTTTAATATTATAAAAAAATTCTATGATGATTTAGCCCCCACCCCGCTTGAAAACGTGCATACCAGCAGACAAGGCCTGACCAAAAAATAAAAAATATATAATTAAGTGGATTGAAAATAAATATGAAACTGAACACACATTTGGCAATCAATCATTATAACCACTAAAGTTGACAAAAATTGAAAAAGAACATCAAAGAATTTCGTCAAAAAGGCCCAAGTTTTAGGTAGCAAATACGATACCATGACTATCCCCAATCCAGTAATAATGGGCTTTACTTTAACAGGAGCCTATTTAATTGTGATTAGTCCAACACATAATTTTAGTCCATTTTATTTTTAAAAGGAAAATAAAATTAGTAGATTTTATAATGTGTACTCAAAAATATTTTATAATTATATTTTTATAATTATATATTATAAAATAAAAATAAAAAACCAAGTAAAACATAAAAAAGAAGAAATAAAAATAATACTAAAAATAAATTTTTATATTGTTTTATCAATGAATCACGTGTACTATTTTTTGTTCTAAATTTTATATTTATGATTAAAAATACATCATGACAATACAAATAAATAAAATATATTTAAAACAATATATAATTTTCAGTAAACTATTATAATAGTCTCTAAAATTTTAAGACATTTATAATTTAATTATTGAATCTGGGACTTTGATAAAAGAAAGTAACATTTAAGGACTGGGTCAAATTAAAAAATTTATCATATTGATAAAAATAATATTTAAGTTAAATTATGTTTAAGAATAATATTATTTATTTTATAATAATATATTGTTATTATTTAAAAGATTATATGCAATTTAAAATTTACATCAATTTGATCTAAAATTATAGAATGAAAATAGTTTATATTTTTATAGAAGTTGACTGTTTAGGATCTGCAGCCTAAGAAAGTCAACGCGGAACTCAGCCGAAAAAGCAAAGGCTGCAGGCACAAACACGAATGTGTAAAGCAGCACACGAAAACCATGGCAATAATGAAGAAACGCAGCCACACATGACTCGTTCACCGACTCCATCTCCCAGTCTAAGAATTTTCAATTCCAGCACATGTTCATATTCTCTCTTTTTATATTTGTTTACATCCAGTTCAGTTTTAACCAATAATACAATAAAATATACTATTTCTAAGTGTGGGTTTCTCTTAATTCCCCCAATTGCAGTATACCATCAATAAATCCATTTGCATACCATCGAGTTTTGTAGAAAAAAAGGAAGAGTAACAATGGCAGAAACCCAATCTCAAGGAACCCCAACGCTGTTTTCTCCTTACAAGATGGGAAAGTTTAATCTTTCTCACAGGTTTGTGTCTACTCTCCAACTTCGATTACTCTGTTTCTGTGATTCAGTTCGTGTGTTTGCATCGAACTCCGTGATCTAAGGAGGATCATAGATCCTTGTCAAGGGCACTTTCGTTTCGGGCATCTTCCTCCACTATCTCCTCGGATTCTGAATATTCCGAGAAAAACACGGAAGGGTAATTTCGTGGCAATTCATTGCATTTGTTTCTGATGGCAGGGTGGTGCTGGCGCCTATGACGAGATGCAGGGCGTTGGATGGAATTCCAAGGCCGGCGCTTGCTGAATATTACACCCAGAGGACGACTCCCGGCGGCTTTCTCATCACCGAAGGGACACTGATCTCCGACACTGGCGCAGGGTAATTTCGTAACTCAATTTTGATTATGAAATTTCATACGAGTCACTCGCATCATTTTCCAGAAATAGTGGTCTGCTAGTGCTGGTCCCATCACAGCATTACCCCCAAACTTCGTGCTTTTTAGAGTCCACTTAACTCTTATCTTAATAAGTTCATTGCTGATTTCCCATACATTGATTTAGAGTGAAGTTTTACTTAAAACTATGGACAGAATTATGATACTGTTTGCGAAATAATGGCACCCTTTTTGCCTTTTTGACTCCAAACTCAGTACCGAGTTATAATATAATAGTTTGCCAATATTATTCCTCATTTGATTAGTTTAGCTATCAGTTCTTCAGTCCGTCTCTGATATAACCTATTGAATTATGCAGACATTCCCTGCTACCATCCTAAACTTCTTTTGAAATCCTTTTGTCACATTTATTTCATATGTGTTTGAGAGCGTTTCTTTTGTCTGATATTGCAATGTTGAAGCAGGTTTCCACATGTTCCTGGAATCTACAATGAAGAACAGGTGGAGGCATGGAAGCCGATCGTGGATGCTGTTCATGCCAAAGGAGGCATCATTTTCTGTCAACTGTGGCATGTAGGCCGAGCATCTCATTCAGGTAACTTACCCAATCCCTTGGTACCCTTTTTGCTTTTTACTCTCTTTTTGGGTGTTGATCATTCAGCATGTTTTAATTGGTTTTTGACTAATGAAACAGTGTATCAACCTGGTGGAGCGGCACCGATATCATCAACAAATAAGCCCGTCTCAGACAGGTGGAGAATTCTTATGCCTGATGGGAGCTATGGCATATATCCAAAACCTCGACCTCTTGAAACCTCAGAAATACCAGAGGTTGTAGTGCATTACCGCAAGGCAGCCTTGAATTCCATTCGAGCAGGTTAGTTAGATATTAAACATCAAATTCTATTGGTACGATGCCCTGAAGCTGTATTCATTTCAATTTATGGGTTTGATGGAGGCCTCTAGACAAAGTCAATCTTATCCTTAAATAGGAAACTGGATTTAGAAAATAATGAGTTACCCTTTACATATACACAGCTTGAGCATTGTCGAATGATGTCAGATTTCGTAATCAAACTTGCTAAAATACTAGTTTGAAGTATGAACTTGTGTTTTTGGTCATGAATACTAGTACAAAGATGAAGCTGTTTGGTTTTTCCTTATATTTTGTCAGTATCCATCAATATCTTGAAAATCATTAAAACTTGCAGGTTTCGATGGAATTGAGATTCATGGAGCACATGGCTATCTCATTGACCAATTTTTAAAAGACGGGATCAATGATCGCACAGATGAGTACGGTGGGTCGTTGGCAAACCGTTGCAAATTCTTAATGCAAATTGTTCAAGCAGTAGCTTCAGCCATTGGTATAGATAGAGTTGCTGTCAGAATTTCGCCCGCAATTGATCACCTAGATGCAATGGACTCTAATCCGCTCAACCTAGGCTTGGCAGTGATTGAGAGACTTAACAAGCTCCAGTTACAGCTGGGGTCAAAACTTGCTTATCTTCATGTGACACAGCCTCGTTATCATGCTTATGGGCAAACCGAATCAGGCAGACACGGGAGTGAAGATGAGGAAGCTTATTTAATGAGGACAATGAAGAAGATTTACCAGGGAACTTTAATGTGCAGTGGCGGATTCAATAGGGAGTTGGGAATGCAAGCTGTGGTGGAGGGTGATGCAGATCTGGTGTCTTACGGCCGTCTTTTCATCTCAAATCCTGACCTAGTCTTGAGGCTGAAGGTTAATGCACCTTTAAATAGGTACATTAGGAAGACATTTTATACTCAGGATCCTGTTGTCGGATATACAGACTATCTATTCCTGAGTGAAGAAAAAGGTACCCAAGTACAGTCACGCCTTTGATGTGGAATCGCCATTGATTGTTAAACATCAAACATTTTCCATAAAGTTGAATGAGCAATTACTATGTTAAAACAATGTAAGAAGAGACATTTGATATGCCTGTATTCCTCTTATGTAGGATTAAAATCATGTTATCTGTGACAGACTAGGCTACCCTGTTGTAGCTTAGTTTCACGTCCAGAAACTCCAGGTTAATCCTTTAAAATGGTAAGTACCTTGTTTCGATAAAAACGTATATGGTAAGATTTTGCTTGTTAGAAGGAAAAAAGAGAAGCTCAAATTGTTGCTCTACCTCCAGCTCATTTTATGTCTCGCTGAACAATAATAAAAAAAGTACTTCTAAAATCTTGCAAGTGTGGCACTTGTTGAAACCGTGGTTTGAAAAATGACTTGGTCTTGAAAAACTCGTTAAGAAGACGAGTCATCATCAGTTGTTCTAGACTAGGTATGACTAAATATTCATAATCTGGTTTACCTTTAACACTAAAATCAAAGTCAAGTTCGAGAATCGATTACATACAATAATTAATATCTAATTTAAAAATAAATGATCACAAAAGACGCAAATGTTAAACTTTTGTATTGTAATCTAGATGCCTTGTAAGACGGGGAATTTGCAAGCTCGCATATTTTTCCCAATGGAGATAATAAAACTTATGACCGGACTTGCAGGGTCTCTTATTAGCAGTCTAGAATTTCTTCTATAGCCCTAACTGCGCTCATTATTAACGTACCGGTGGAGCCAATGGACCACCTATTGATATCACTTTCATTCTCTTTTTAGATCCCCAACCTATAAAAAATGATCTAGGTTTTCCATGCTGGTTAAGCCATAATAACAGGCTATGTTGTTGTGTTATAGTCTCTCTAAATAGAAAACTTTGATATTACCAAATATGTGATTGCATAGAAAAGAGGCGATGTCAAGAGGAACTTTGTTAGGATTTTTGAAGATCGACAACCGAAAAAGTGTCAAGAGGGTGAATTGGCAAATATTGTTTAGGGAGTAAGAAGAAAAAAAAGATAGAGAATTTTGCACAACGATTTATAGTGGTTCGACTTCTCAACTAAGTCTACATCCACTACCTAAGCTCCTCACTTAGTATTTTCCAACAAATCTACTAATTTGTTCTTTCTTTTTCAAGGATTAAGAGTAACATTTACAAACTCCCTAGTTTTTTTCACTTGACTAAAATAGAACCAATCCCCTTTACAAAAGGTAAAAAGAAGTAAACAATAAAACCTCTTAAAGGTATGTGTTTACAAAATTAAAGCTCACAAAAACACAAACATTTAAAAGAAAATAAAGATAAAGAGTGAAAAAAAATTTATCGTGTTTGATTGCTTGGATAAGTGTTCTAACCCTTCTTCAAGTGTCTTGAACTTGTATTTATATGTTGGAATGTGTTTGTGGCAGTTTCTAGCCGTTGGGAGTGATTTAAAGTCGTTGAGATGTTTTCTCTACAAAATAAAACTATCTAGTACAGAGGATATCGGTACTCCTATAGGGAGTATCGATACTACCCTTGTAATATTTAAATAAAACTAGCTGTTACTAGTCGTTAGACCTAACGGTTCGATACTATGCTCATGGTATCAATATTACTATGTAAAGTAGTATTGGTGCCCCTTTGGTTATCATTACCTATTTTACATTCTGGAATTTGAACAAGCTGGTAGTATCAGTATTACCTAGAGAGTATCGATATTTCTCTTACCTAGGGTATTGGTACCACATGAACAATATAAGTACTGTTCATATGGTATCGATACTATAAGAACAATATCGGTACTTTGTACGTGAAAAACTTTTTTGCTCAAATTCTAGTTTATTGGACTTTGAATTATTTTTTAAAACTTTCGAAAATCTTGAACAAGTTCAATTAAGTCCAAAAACATTTTGCCTTAATTTATTATATCAAAATATTATAAAACATGATTAAACAAACTTACTCAAATGAAGGAAAAGTACTGTTCCCATCAATCTATCATCTTCGATGGATACACATATTTGGAACATTAATGATACGCACGAATTCAACCAAAATTTCTTCTTCATTAATGCTACCAGATAGTCAAAAGGAATCTAAATCCGTCACAATTGGACGCAAAAGTTTGATTTTTACCTATTATTCATATCAAGGAATTTCATTCCTGAATCTTCCGGAAATTAGATCTTATATTAAACTCAAAATTTGTGTACAAATTATCATTCTATATAAAGGATGAACTTCTTCAAGCTCAACTTGAAACGTTACCACCCCTAGAAAGACGGTGGCAAAATGATGTTTCTCCGAAGCCTTTTCACTTTATCTTTCCTATTTTCATCCTCCAACGCATTAGATTTATGCTTTGGGGACTTGAATGCTAATCAAGGTCCTGCAGGCTACTCTTGCAAGAAGGCCGAAACAGTCACAGTAAACGATTTCATTTTCTCCCTCGCTGCCACAGGCAACACTTTAAACCTCATAAAAGCTACCGTAACGCCAGCCTTTTCGTCTCAATTCCCCGGTGTTAATGGATTTGGCATTTCAGTAGCTCGTCTGGATTTGGCTGTTGGTGGTCGGGTGCCCGTGCATACACACCCCTGAGCCTCGGAAATCCTTGTTTTTATTCAAGGCACTATTTGTGATGGATTCATATCCTCAACCAACAAAATTTACTTCGAATCTCTCAACGAGGGAGATGTCATAGCTTTTCCACAAGGTTTAATGCATTTCCAAATCAATATCGGTAAAAGTCAAGCCTTGGAATTTGCATCCTTTGGCAGCGCAAACCCAGGTATATATACCATGGACTATGCCTTATTTGCAAATGACTTGCCCACTGACATGCTACAAGAGACCACTTTTCTCGATCCTGATCAGATTAAGAAGCTGAAGGGCCTTCTTGGTGGAACTGGTTAAGATATCTAAATTTTTAGTCGTGCTTCCTTAGTTTCTTGTGTCTTATTGTCTCTCTGTCGTAGTTTCTTTGAATAGAAATAGCAATAAAGTGAGTCTTGTTGTGAACTATGTAAGCACTGCATTTAATTTACCATTTTCTGTACCAACAATCGAGTTAAAAGATCGCTTCTACGAGGCTTGGTTTACTAACAAAATTTGATCTCTGAAGATTCTCTTTCACATGAATCTTTAAACTTTGTTTGAGAATGTGTCACAAAATGAGAAAAATTAAGGTGAGGAAATAATATGAACAAACAGTAACGGAATCAGGATGAAATATTAGAGTATAAATATAAATAATAATAAAATGAGTTATGGTCAAATTGTTATCAATTTAAAATTTAAATTTAGGGTCTAATATGTTTAATGTTACTAAGAAGTACTTGAATAAATAAAAACGATGGTCAAAACTTAATTTGTCCAATCCTTTTCACTTTATCCTTCCTATTTTCCTCCTCCAAGGCAGAATACTTCTGCGTTGGGGACTTAAATGCTCCTCAAGGCCCTGCAGGTTACTCTTGCAAGAAGGCTGAAGCAGTCACCATTTTGCCTTCTCAGGCCTTGGAGCCATGGGCAGCACTTTAAACCTCATAAAAAGCTGCTGCAACACCAATCTTTTCAGCTCAATTCTCCGGTGTTAATGGACCTGGCTTTGAAATGGCTCGTTTGGATTTGACTGCTGCTGGAGCCTATGCAAATTGTTCAAGCACTAGCTTCAGCCACTGGTATAGCTGGAGTTCCTGTCAGACTTTCGCCTGTAATTGAACACAGCGATGAAATGAACTACAATCTGCTCAAACTAGGCTTGGCAGTGATTGAGAGATTTAACAAGCACCAGCTACACGGGTCAAACTCGTTTATCTTCATGTGGCACAGCCTCGTTATCACGCTTATGGTCAAACCGAACCAGGCAGACACGGGAGTGAATATTAGGGCTAGGCTACCTGGTTGTTTAGCATGAAACAATTGCCATAAAGTATATTGAGCAATTACTATGTTAAAACTATGTAAGATAAGACATGTTTTGTGCATGTATTCCTCTTATGAACAAATGTTATCTGTGACATAGAATAGGCTACCTTAATGTTTTAGCTCAGTTTCACGTTCTTGTTTCGATCAAAAGTATATTGTGAGATTGATTTTGCTTGTTAGAAGAAAAGAGAGGCCCAAATTGTTGCTCCGCCCCCAGCTTGTTTTATATTCTCACAGAACAATATGCAAGAGAATAGAAGAAAACTTACTCCTATCATGTAAGTGGTCGAACGGCTGGGCCTGATTGTGCATTTCGAGGTCCGTCATAAGTGAGTTCTATATCTGTAGTTTGAGTGGAAATTCTTGTGATGATAAAATAATATCTTGTAGAATGACTGCTATCCCAGGCTTATATTCAATGGTCGGCTGTCCAGAGCCCTAGGTCAAGGATATTTCACATGGATATGAGAAATCAGAATGACAACCACTAGGCTTCTAGCTTCCAAAGTGGCCAAATACCCGCAAAGGTATTTTAATGTCAATAAGCTAAGAAAAATTCTGAACAGATACTACTTTGTAATCTTCTCAGACTATTTATTTAAAAAATCATTTTAGCCTCGTAAAAGTTGTCCTAATGATTAAACAAATTGGCAGGCACTAGTAAGGACATATTTTTGAGGGCATTGGTGGAGACTGGAGAGTAATGAGGTTGGCTTTTACTCTGGTAGCCTTAAAATGGTCTCAAAAGACACAGGAAATTGGACGTTAAGAACGTGGCTAGCTGTTGGTAGACTATATGTATAACTGTGAATTGGATGCTGTTGCTTAGTTTTAACTGAAATCCTGTTAATAGTTTGTCTTAATGCTTGATGTAACTATATTGGACGGAAGAGATGACCAAGTTCATTATTTACAGTGACATTGATTTATCTTGCCTTATATTCCGTGTGAGTAAATTCACTTTCTAATTTTCCTCTTATAGCCATAGGCCTAATAACAAAGTGTTATTTTATATTTAAACCAAAACCAATAATTTTCATAAAAAAAATATGAGATATTTTTTTGGAAATATCTACAGAATTTACTAGAAGTTGAAGTAGACATGTTTTTTACAATGAGAATCAAGAAGAAAAAAGCTCCGCTGGAAAATCAGTTCATAAAATCC